CGACGGCAACTGAAGAGCTGGGACTTGCATAATTTTGTAGAGTAACATTCAGACTATCTATGCATGCAAAAAAGTTAGTAACATTGTATGTTAGTTTTCTGAGAACGGAGCTGGTTTTTCAAAGATCCTCTGGAAAATCAGACTTACAGAAAATTTTGAAACAAGTTTCTGCTTACGAAAACATGTCTTAAGGTCTTGGTCATTTAATAGTGGAAACTGCACGTCTCTATCTGGTTCCTATCAAAAGTTATTCAAAAGGCAACAAACGGTCTGACCATTTGGAAGCGATAGTAGTTATCGTTTTCTTCACAGAATGTAGAAAAGTTAATGCTCAAAAGTGTATCTTACGATATGCCCATTAGGAAGCAGAAACGAAAATTAAGCAAATAAAACTGAAATAAAAAGAAAGAATAAGACGAAACTTAAAATAATGTCATTAAAATGTATAGAATAATTAACAAAACGATAGAAACAGCATAACAAGAGTAGAATTAAATATCAAGAAACATCGCAAATCGATTTTTAAATGCACGCATATTAACACAGGATGTCAGAACTGGAACTATTAGTTTATTGCATAATCTCAGATTTCTTCCAAAGTAAAGGCTTGTTTAGAGCAAATATTTTTATGAATTTTGGTGAAAACCGGAGGTCCTAAAGTTGTTGCAGTGCAGAGATATTCAGTTTTGCCGATAAGCCCACACAAATTCACACAACCGCAGGCTCCGGACATGTTCTCATTCTTTTACAGTTCATGATGCTGTGAAAGCCCAAATCATTGACCTGTACATTTTGGAGAATGATTCTCTCTCGGAAAATCGAGCGATTTCTCGCTCCCTATAATGTAGAAAGAATAACCGCCTGTTACTAATACTTTCCCGGATGGTAGTAAAGTTGCAGTGTGACCCCCATGTGCTGATGACATGTTGGCAACTGTAATCCCCGTGTTTAATGAAGGATCGTACAGTTAGCATCTGAATAGGGTAGTCGACCCATAATGACCACCTGTTAATAATACTTTCCCAATTACTCTCGAACTTCGGTCGGATTTTCGGCAATTGTCGAAGTTCATTGTGAATACGACAATGCGAAGAAAATCATATCGATTATCTACAATTGTCGAATTTTTGTTGGCGGCTTTGCTCTTTACATTCCACAATACTGCGAAAATCCATCCAAATTGAGCCAGTTCCGATGGCGGGCTTGTACGATATCCTTGTGGGAGACCCTTGAATCTGATTCGGTTCGCGGTTCCAAAACGGTTTGTTTAATGGAAAAATACTTATAGCAGCAAAATATCATCGGAAAAGTGAACCTTAAATGTTTGCTTCAAACCTCATTCCGGAACGACGAAAAGTTTGTCTGCGTTTACAATTCAGTGTCGTCGGTCGAACTACGCCAGAATCAACTACTCATATAAAAATATTTATTTGAATTTTAAAAATGCGGCGATAAACTCGCGGAAAGTTAAAAAGAATCTATGTTTACAAACAAATCCCAGTCGACCAGACGAAAAACTGGTTGCCACATCTACTCGCAAGTTATGCACCGGCAAGTGTAATCTACATGCTGAATGAAGGATCGTACAGTTCGCAAGTGGATGGAGTATTCGACCCATTATAACCGCCTGTTACTAATACTTTCCCGGATGGTAGTAAAGTTGCAGTGTGGTCACCACGTCTTGATGACATGTTGGCAACTGTAATCCACGTGTTTAATGAAGGATCGTACAGTTCGCAACTGGATAGAGTATTCGACATATTATAACCGCCTGTTACTAATACTTTCCCGGATGGTAGTAAAGTTGCTGTGTGATCACGACGTGCCGGTGACATGCTGGCAACTGTAATCCACGTGTTTAATGAAGGATCGTATAGTTCGCAACTGGATAGAGTATTATAACCGTTATAACCGCCATTATAACCGCCTGTTACTAATACTTTGCCTGATGGAAGTAAAGTTGCAGTGTGAGCATATCGTGCTGATAACATGTTGTAGATTGTAGTCCATGTATTTCTTGTGATATGGCCAGCTAGGAAACAGAGAGATACTGTCGGAGTCTCTTGATTATTTTTAATTTTTAAGAAACTGGAAAAGGAGAGGTTCATATGATGATAGAAGTAGAATTTCTACGATATCAAGCAGCATGAATATGCTACCCGGAATCAAGGAACTGGAGACTTTTTCTAATAATTCACAAAGGAAAATAAAATCATAAAATAAGACTTTCCTTTTCTCTTCTTCTAGATTAGAAAAACACAGTATACTAGTTTATTATTACGCCCGGTGTATGGCGTTAAAAGTTTGACTTCAAGTGCAAATGAAAATTACTCTCGAATTTCTGTCGGATTTTCGGCAATTGTCGAAATTCATTGTGAATTCGACAATGCGAAGAAAATCATATCGATTTTCGTCAATTGTCGAAATTGTTGGCGGCTTTGCTCTTTATATTGAACTTCTACGATATCCTTGTGGCAGACTCGAGAATCCGATTCTGTTCGCGGCTCCAAAATGACTGGTTTCGGGGAACGAGCCGTAAGGCTTTTTACCAAATACTAATAGCAGTAAAATTTCATCGGAATAGTGAAAGTTGCATGTTTGAGACTTCATTCCGGAACGACGAAAAGCTTGTTTGGGTGTACAATTCAGATTAGACATGTTCTGTTACCATTTAGTGGGGCCCAATCGACCATCGAAGCGGAAACTTTTAGTTCAAGTATTTTGATCAAAAACATACATATATGCGTGTGTGCAAATATTGTAGTCTTTGAAAAAATTAAAACGTATCGAATGGTTATTAAAGTATCTTGACATGTGTAACTGAATGTGCTCTACAAAATGGTTGAGTTGAAAATGCCAAATCCAGTCGAAAAAACTCATGGCTTGGTTTTCTAGAAACATCACTTCGTTTCCGGCTTCAAGGATTCCAAAAATTCAGATCAGATAGTTTAGATCAGAGGCTTTTTCTAAAATTCTTTTAGAAAAACATCAATATAAATTGACTAATTAACGAATCGTTGGTAATTAGATTGACATACACTGTGTTGGATAGTACAGATCGATCTGTACCATTGTACATCTGATGGTACATAGACGGTTATAACATGAAAGAATGGTATCGGATAGTGCCATCTACTTAATGGAAAGAACGCTCGCTTAAGTACAACACGTATAGTATAAGTAAAAATAAAATAAACCGTTCTTCTCTCCCACTCTCAGTTTGTTACATTACTATTTTTACATTTGTCTTATAATTGTTGAAAATGATGAGAACGATCGAAAATGCCAAATAAGAAAATAAATATCGGCAAAATTGAATATCTCTGCAATACAACAACTTTAGAATCTCCGGTTTTCGCCGAAATTCATGAAAATATTTGCTCTAAACAAGCCTTTACTTTGGAAGAAATCTGAGATAGTCGAGTTTCTGCTAAAATTTGAGTGAACAACGGTATGGTGCTGATACAGTATAACGGCAAGACCCTCTTGTTATGCTGTTTCTATCGTTTTGTTAATTATTCTATACATTTTAATGACATTATTTTAAGTTTCGCCTTTTTATTTCAGTTTTATTTGCTTAATTTTCGTTTCTTCTTCCTAATGGGCATATCGTAAGATACACTTTTGAGCATTAACTTTTCTACATTCTGTGAAGAAAACGATAACTAATGACCAGTTCTTTTAACTAGTTACTAGAAACAATGAGAACTCTCCCCCTTTCCTTCGATTTGTCTTC